GGCTCGACGCAGACCACTTTTCTTTGATAAATAGCTTGACATCTTAGGACAAGATCAGCATTCTTGCCGCCACATGGCTGGTTTTCTACTTTCAATATTTCAATATTTCAAGATTTTTACACGCTCGCACTTGGTTTGTTTGTATACTACAATGATATGATACAGGGTTAGCCTCGTTTTCACGCTTGAAAGTATCTGCAAACATTCGAACAGCGGTTATCAGCACAGAACGCGAAACTGGAGTATTAGATACATATGCCAAACGCTAAAACTCTTGGAAGGATTGTATTTGAAATAGGTATCCTATTTACAAGTTATTTGGAGCAAGGTGATTGTAAATCAAGATGTTATGAAGAAAAAATTAAAAATGCATTGAGTTTACTTTGATGGTGGAATTTTGGAGGTGCTTCCCTCACAATGCTGGAGAGAACAAGTCGGAGAATGATGAAAGGCCGTCTCTGAAATGGCTGCTCGCACTAAATATTTAGTTTATGGAGATATAATTGGATCATGAAACAAATTCAAGTCATTTGCTTCTATCAACACTTGAAAACTTGAAAAGAAAGCATAATTTTCGATCTAAAGGCCGAAACTCATATGCATTGATAAGGGCTAAAGCGGATTTTCTAAACTAATGAAAGAAAAGTAGCGCGCTGCGTTATGGCCATCAACGATTGAATTATTATGGCTTATATTTTTTGATATCGCTCGATATGACCGGAAAAAAGGCCTGAGCAAAAAATGCAATTTGGGCGATGTAAAACCCAAAAAAGAAAAAAAAGAAGTAAAAATCTTCAAGAAAAGACTTTGTCTACGTTGTTCTTAGACTCCCCTTGAATGATTTTAAACTATTTGATTTAGTCTATTTAGATCATAGTAAAGACAGAATTTACTTGAAAGCTCAGGAGTAACTGTTCTTTGATAAGATCTCGCTATATGGGATGTAATGGTAATATCAAGAAATTTTCTGTTAATCCTGAGTCCAAATCATCTGAACTTTCTACCCGGAAAAAATCTTCCTTACAAATGCTTCTAAATAATGAAAAAAAGTCTTCCCTTGGAGTTTAATCCGGTCGGCTGCAGCATGTAGACACACACGGAGTACTACTGTTTTATCCGGACGGGATGATAATAATAATAATAATGGTTTATCAGCATACCCATCTGAGGAGCGGCTTTTCTATGTTACAAACTAAATACGAACTAGATAAAAATACATCGTATTTAGAAATTTCTAATACTCGATACTGCAATTTCCCCACTGGGGAATTTTCTTGGGGAACATACTTTGTGAGGTAAATGCTGAGTGGGATCCTGATCTATCATAAGTTCCCGACCAGCATTTACCTCACAACATATGCTCCCCAAGGAAAATTCCCTTGTGGGGAGATACATTACGAGGTCTTAGTACCTTCCTTTGAAACACAGATAGAACTTTCGCCGAAAAACTCTTTAAACTACCAAGAGAGCCTTGTCATGCAGTCGCAGTCTTGCAATTGTTGATGCCGATTAAGGGAAATAGAACACCTCCACTTCGTCGGGAGTAAATCTGAGACTCCCAGCTGACACTGTATGCTTTTCCTTTACTTCATTTGGAGCCAAGAAGGTTTGGCCAAATCTGGCGTACGAATGATAGTTATGACCTGCGTTGTCAGCAATATGAATGTCGTGGCCTCCACCAAATGTTGGACCATAGCTTATGTCCATGTAAATGGCTTGGGAATCATGCGTCACCATACTCTTAAACGGCATCACTTCTCTGTTTTTGAGCGAATAAATGAAAGCCTTGTCTGTCTTGCGATAACCTTTTTTGGAATCGTCATCTACAGGTCAAGACAATAAGCAATGGGAAAAATTGCAAGCTTTTTAGAGGTAATTTTTTTTTTAGCTTTCTTATTTTCTCTATAAAAGAAATACTCTAATGTTTTATTTTGTGTATATTTCCGTCATGAATTTTGTCAAAACTGAAATGGCGATATAGAAATATAGAGATCTGAATGCATTCTAAAGAGTATACAATAACATTCTTCCTTACCACAGTAAGCCCATTTTTATTGAAGACAGTATCGAATGAGCACCATGGTATAGGAGCACCTTTCCGTGTGCAGGAGTTGTAGGCAGGTCCTTCATACTTGAAAGGAAATACACAACAGGGACCCGACGGGTCTATTGTTCTTGCTTCCTGAGGAAAACCTGCCAAGAAAATGTTTTGAATCAGTGAGTTAGGTCGCCGCTTGCAGCGAAATTAGACGACTCGCTTTTATTTAACTATTGCCCAGGCGAAGCCACGAAGCCTAGTATTCCGAGGCGAGAATTCGAAGTCAACGTTTCTGCAGTGGCTGCCACCATTTGTTCTGACGTCTCTCTTTGTTTCTCCTTCCTGAAAT